GGAGTAATAAGCAATCGTGGGGGCGGGGAAGGGCCGTAGGAAAATAAAACCAAACCAAACCATCAACATTTACGCATTAGTTTCTTCTCATCTCTCCATCACTTTGTCAAAGGAACGTGTTTGTCATCTCAGTCCTCCCCAAAATTGTGGTCTGGTGAAAACTTTCCTTTTCAAAGCTGTTATCAGGGAGAGAAATTGGTGATTTGTAGAAGAAGAGAGAAAGAAGAAAGAAGCAAAGAGGAGGAAAAAAGTGAGGAAAGATAAATCCAGATGATCTCATTTCCTAAAGGTTCTCTTTCCTTACCCTAAAAATATGTAGAATTTTGCTGTAGAGGGGCCCTGTTCTGGAGACCCATCTATGGTGGGTTCAGGTAAGCTATGTCCAGCATTAGCAAGGCTCTCTGTGGGCTAATAAAAGCCACTTTTGGGTTATTCCCATCAAAAGTCTGAATAACCTGAATCTAGTCATGAAGAAACATGAGAAAGCCAAATAAAGAGATATTCTAGAAAATAGCTTGCCTGTACGTTTCAAGAATATCAATGTCATGAAACACAAGGAAAGACTCAGGAACTGTTCCAGGTAGAAGGAGACTAAAGAAACAGGACAGTTAAAAGCAACGTATAATCTGAGATTTCGAGTCGCTATAAGGATACCAATGGGCAACTGATGGAATCTTAATAAAATCTATGGATTGGTAACAGTATTGTATCAGTGTCAATTTCCTGATTTTGATTATTATACAGTGGTAAGTAAGAGAATGTTTTTGCTCATAGAAAATACACAGTAGGGGCACCTGGGTGGCTCAGTCAGTTAAGTATCTGCCTTCAGCTAAGGTCATGCTCTCAGGGTCCTGGGATTGAACCCCTCAGCTGGCTCCCTGCTCAACAGGGAATCTGCTTCTCCATCTCCCTCTGCCCCTCCCCCCTCATACTCTCTCTCTCTCTCTTTCTGTCTCTCTCACTCTCTCTCTTGCTTTGCTCTCTCTCTATCAAATAAATAAATAAAATCTTAAAAAAGAAAGAAAATACACAGTAAAGTACTCTGTGGGAAAGGATATCATGCCAACAATTACTCCCAAATGAAAAAGCCTAGGAAGGATAAAGAAAACGTGATAAAATGTTAATATTTGGGAAATCTAGGTGAAAGGGGGGTGTTCAGAAATTCTTGGTACTAGTTTTGGAAGTTTTCTGTAAGTCTGAATTGAGAGAGAGATAGAGTTGAATGTGAGTAAATGATCTAAAGAATTCTGATCTTTAAGTCATTACATCGTAAATCCCTGATGGCATAAATACTGAGATTCCATAAGAGCTGTTTTTAGAAGAACAAACCATGGGGTAATTCTTTAAGGCCTCTATTTGCTTCTGACAGAGAGTGAGTATTAAGCCATGAGTTTAAATTGAAAAGATGTGAGGTATCAAAATAATTTCTCACTCCCATTCCTCAAACTAGTTCTCCTGAAATATAAAATGTCAAACAAAAGTGTGACAAGTTGAATATATTTCAAATATTTAATTTGCTAGCATATTGACTTCAGATCAGTTGGATTTATGATTAAGTTGGATTTTTTATGTTTGCTTATGTTAAAATGCACTGGAAATTTATGTAAACAAAGAACACCATCTAATGATGTTTGTTTAATAGGAAGTCTATAAGAAAAGAGAGTATAGTGTGTAATGGGGAGGAAAGAGCATTCCATGGAGAATCTGGAATTACTATTTAACTAGTTTTATGACTTTGGACAAGCTTCACCTTGCCTGGAAAATAAGTAGTTTCGAATGTTTTAAGAATAGCTAATGTTTACTGGGCTCTCACTACAAGTTGAACACTTTATTTGAACCTAAATAATCCTGAATTGCATTTAAGTAACAACATTCTAACACTTGTAAAATAGATAGGGCTCTTATTTGAAATGATTATAGAAATGTATCCTTGTGGCACCTTTTCCTTTACAACAGTTCTTGGCCATAGCTGTGATGTACTGATGTTCCTGCTTAGGAAGGAACGGTCCTGTGTGCTCGTGACCTGGGGAATGAAGAGAGGACTTGCCTCTGTGTCCCAACACAGAGATCCATGGCCTCCACTCTGGGAGTGCTCACCCAATGGCTTTGGAAATGGATTCCTTCTTCTCAAAGCCTATGTCCAGACAGCCTCCCCACACTCACCCTCCAGCTGCAATCCCAGCCTCCCATCCCCAGAGGCCCGCTCTGTGTAGCAGTCTCGTTTCTCTGCTCCTTTACTTTGGTGCTCTGTACCTGCAGTGGTAGCTGGGCCCCGGAGCTTCCTGAGGGCAGGTACCCAGTCTGCAGGCCCAGGGTGACCTGCACACACTGGGTGCTCACTTGGTACGGGAAGTACTGGGGGAGGACTAATTTAGGAACACAAACCAAACCACTGTAACTAAATCAACACAGCGTTTCCTGGAACAGAAGTTGAGAGACAGTGGCCATAACCTCGCAAAGAGCTCCAAACTTCACACTAACCTGGGGGAAATCGAGATTAAGGAGTAAGAAACCTTCCCCTTCACCTTCATTTCAAGCCACATCCCATCAATTCTGATGTCTCAGGCATAGTCACGGCCAGGCCTAGACCTTGGACCTGCCCAGTTGTTTGATCTTGCCTCTCACTTTCAGCTGCTGGGTTCGAGAACCAAGTAGGAGAGAGAGATTTCCACTTCCTCTGCTCCTGCTCACCTGCTTACTCTCATCTCAAATGCATTTGGGGGGCGGGGTTATACTCCTTGAGTGTACATGTATTGTGCCCCATCTGGAATGCATGGTTACCCCCAGTCACCATAGCAAACTTGCACTTCTTTGAAAATGAGCCCAAGCAGTCACTTCCTCTCCAGGGCACACTCCTACACTCCTCCCACATTGTGTGCACACTTCCTCCATGATAGAAAAGATTGCATTGTGCTATAATGGTGTGTTGTGTCTGTATTCCACGCCAGAATCCACAAACGCTTTGAGATTGATAAGCACGTCAGTCATCCCCGTGTCTCCGGGACTTAGCACCATGCCTAGCTGTTCGTAAGCCGTGGGGTGGGACTGAAAAAGGGGAACAGGCTTCAGATCTGGAGTCTGAAGCCCTCTGGTTGGTCAGGGGTCAACCTGAGGACACTAGAAACAAAAGACCAATGGAGTTTGACCTTGCCCGTTTGTGTGGGTCAATTACTAAAGGTGAAGTGGCCTCAGCAGCAGTAGCTGTGAAGGAATGGGCTTTGAATCATCCCTGTGGGTATAAAGGTGCCCAATCCTTTCATTTAAAAGCTAAGTATACTTAATTGGCCCACACAGAAAACAACACAGGAAATCAAGCTTCAGTTCAGTCTCGATTCCAAACCAACCGCAATTTCAAAACAGTGCAGATTCTGGTGGAGATTGAGAAAGCAAAACTTCTTTGTTTAGCCAGCAGCTAAGACTGCTTTTGCTCAATTCTCTTCCAAAGCACCGATATCTTTTATCTTCCATAGGAGTTCCTTAAGGGCAGGACTATTTTGGGGACAAATCTCTACCTTGCTATTTTTGTCTCCCCACCAGAATCTTCCAAAGCACATGCCTGGCCCCAGGAGGCACTTAATATATGATTATTAAATGAATTCATTAAAAATTCTGGTCTTGGGGCTCCTGGCTGGCTCAGTTGGTAGAGCATGTGACGCTTAATCTCGAGGTTGTAAGTTAGAACTCCACATTGAGTGTAGAGATTACTTAAAAATAAAATCTTAAGGGGTGCTTGAGTGGCTCAGTTGGTTAAACGTCTGATTCTTGGTTTCAGCTCAGGTCATGATCTCAGGATTGTGGGATAGAGTCCTGCATCTGGCTCCGTGCTCAGTGCCTGCTTAAGATTCTCTCCCTCTGCTCCTCCACCCCGCCCCCACTTGCACTCTCTCTCTCTCAAATGAATAAATACAATCTTTTTTAAAATCTTAAAAAAATAAAATAAAAAATCTGGTCTTTATTTTTAAATTCATGGCTCAATGGCCCCTGAGGTGCTTTGGGAATCTAGAGCCCTTGGTGACGTTGCCATCCCTCATTGTTAGGTTGGTAAGTAATGGTCCTTGAGGGCCATCCTCTCCCCCTAGGGCATAATCAGTTGAGACTCCTGCAGGTATTAGAAAGAGAAAGCTCTGGTTTAGTGTTTCCTTTGGTCTCCTGACCTCTAGTAATGACTATGGTGGTCACAGAAAGCCAGGACCAAAGCTTGACTTTGACTTTCTGAGTCCATGAGACCCCAGTCGCTAGTTACAGGGCATGAATTAGAAATCATTACAATATCAAATTTTGTTGGTTGGTGTATGTCACGTTATATTTATCAATATTTATGTTTTGTATACCAAGGACAAGTTTATTCAGCAGAATAAACCACAATGTTCTTCCTGCTGTTTGAAAACAATCAATCTAAGCATCTCTTAGGGGTGTTCAGCTTTTACCTCTTGATATACAGGCAGTGGGCATGCCCTGTGTTCCTGACTCTGAACTGGGTGTTGTCATTTGTAACTGTCCTTCTATTTAGTGGCTCTGAGGAATCACAGTGAGAGTCATGAAAACTGATTGAATTAAGAACTGCCATCTCCCAACTGCCTCTCTAAATGGCTCTGGCCGTTGGTTCTCTCCTCACTCTAAAATCACAAGATCAGTCTTCTAAGAGACCTAAGTATGTATGAAATCTCCCCAACGTCATGTCCCACAGAAGGCTCCAGGCATCAGAAATGACTACACACAGAAATTCAAGTTCTGAAACAATTTAAGCTCATGAATGCCCTGACCCAAAGAGGTATCAGATAACGGGAACCTGGTTAGTGAAAAGTCTTTACAGCCTGCTTGTCTTTTGAGGGGTGCCAGGATCTTGATCTTTTTACTTTCCTGCACTAAATATTTGTGAAATAGCAGTTGCAGGAGATTTTAGACTTACTGAAGAGGTGTACGGACAATCCTAAGACACCCTATCCCACATAATATGGTTCAGGTCTTGTCAAGCCAGATTAAAATGTCACCAAGCTTACCTTTCGCAGGCACTCTTCCTCAGTTCTTTAGGCAAGATCAGTGATTATCCTTGAGATGGTCACAACAAGACTGGTAACACGGATGTCCGGGGCTATTTGTGTAAAAGGAGAAGTGAAGGGAAAATAAATGTGCTCACACTGTGACAACAGGAAGCCCAGTTGACGAGAGGGAGGAAGTGAGGCTCGGCCTGCTCTCTTTAACCTTAGAGATGCAATCCTTCCCCTGTGGCTTTTTAGACACCTACTCCCATGCCCACCCAAATACATAAACTTGTTTCTATGAAACACAAGAAAAGTCAAAGACCTCTTCCAGGCACTCATCCGTGAGCCCTGGTGCATTCTGAGGTGATTTCAGTATTGATTTCTGTCTAGAAAAAGTCAGTGCTTCTCAGTCAAGATGGCACCTCAAAATTATGTGTGGATCTGTTCAAGAATAAGTATGCCTGGGCCCCGTTTGGTAGACAGAAACTGGAGTGGAACCCAAGAATAATTATTTTTAAAAGTTTTCTAGGACTGAGACAGGAATGCCTCTCAAGCCACTCGGCCTTCTCCCCACCCTCCTTCCAGCTGCCTTCCAGAAGATCTCTAGTTTCCTGTTGGATTGGGATGCAATTTTCAGACTTCTGTGTCTCAGAAGCTGGACTTTCCTTGTGTAAGGATATTGTCAAGGGTAAACCCCAAGGCACACTCCAAGGGACACTGGTAGAAATGATTTGGTTAGTAAAGGGAGCCCCAGATTTAGAATCCAAAGTTCTGAGTTTCAGCTTTATCTCTGTTAGCTCTGTGGTACTGAGCAAATCTCAACCTCTCAGCTTCAGTTTATTAATAGTAACATCTAATAATAACCCTGCTAGTTACCCTTATTTCCCCATTTATAGATGAGAAAACAGAGGTTAGATATTTAGCCAAGTGTGACCCACTCTTGATTTCAGCTCAGGTCATGATCTCAGCGTTGTGGGATCAAGTCCCACATCAGGCTCCGTGCTCAGTGCAGAGTCTGCTTATCTCTCTCCCTCTGCACCTCTCCCCACCCCGCTGTGCTTTCTCTTTTTCTCCCTCTGTCTCTCTCTAAAAATAAATAAATAAAATCTTTAAGAAAAAGTTTTTTAAAAAGTTTAAAAATAAAAAAGAAATAAGAAGAAGAAATAGCAGTTGGGACTCAAATTCAAAGTCACAGAGAATGCTGTGACCAGTAGATTTTGAAAATTATATATAATTATTATATATATATCTATTTCCAGTTTTCTCTCTGCTGTGTCTACTGGGATTTTCTTAGATTGAAATGGTTAGGGGCTAAGTGATAACCCCAACATATCCCTAGCCAGCCATGAAATGTGGAACCTACCACTGAGCCACAATTTTTTTATCTGATAAAGAAAGAAATGGACATTCTCCCCAGTGCTCGACTTGAAAACATGCATCTGGGAAAGCTAGCTTTCTCTGTCTTCCTTTACCCTGACACATTCAGATTCTGGAATCACCTCTGACCAGGGCTGACTTATGGAGAATCCTGAAGGAAATGGATCTTGACTGAGGAACGTGTCAGTCCTTAATATTTTCTAAGTGCAGATTTTTCCAAACTTATGTGATCCTGGAACAGCATGTGTGTGGGGGGGGGAGGGTGGGTGTATGGTTTTTCTCAGGGAACAGTTTTTCAGCATCATGGCACTGTAGGAAATGCTGTTGTCAATTCTCCTCTCTTCGTCTGGCATCAGTCTGAGGAGTCAGTGCCCCTCACTCGGGGCTGCTGCAGTAGAGGGGTCCCTGCAGTAGAGGGGCTGAGAAAAGACTTCTTGCTTGGCTCCCATTCTCTGTAGTTTCCATTACTATCTCTTTTTGCCAAAGATTCACAGATCTATATGTGTGATCCGAGTTCTCATTGAGCTCCACGCAGGTACCTGCAATCCAGTACACAACATTCAGCTTAAGAAGCTGGGCATTCTCCTGCTGAAACCTGCTCCTCCCCTATATTCATCATCTCAGGGAAAGGCCCCACTAACCACCCTGTTGCCCAAGTCAGGTATCCTCTTGGGCCACCCACTGTCCCACATCATGGCATATTATCAACCCCCAAGTCCTAGAAATTGTACCTTTGCCTCAATATTTCTCAAATAGGGCAACTTCTCTCCAACTCCAGAGCCACACACTAATCCTTATCTCTCACCTGTTTCACTGCATCCCAGCCTCCTTCAAGATCAACTTGGATGTTTTCTCACTCAGCCCCGACAATGAAAGCCTTCTAAAAATGATAATTTAATCATGCCATTCCCTGGCTTACGACTCTTCCATGGTTTCCCCTTAGGTTTTTGGTTTTGTTTTGGTTTTGTTAAGTAAGTTCTACACCCAGTGCGTAAGAAGTGGTCCCCTTGTGCCGAAGACTCGTAATTTCCACATGAAAGTTATGACTCTCTTATTAGGGTTCTATCTTCTTTGAGCTCAAGTGGGGATGGATACATGAGAACCCACCAAGATTGTATGACACTGTAGCATGGACGAAATGGGCTTTCTTGACCCCCTTCCTTAGCTCAGAGAGAGCAGGGTGACAGGTTTCTCTGCAAACACAGTTACTCTCTGTGTTGTCTGAAGCGGCTGTGAATTCCTCTCCTGACCTCACATCCAGCCTTGACTGTGCATCTACTTTCCCTCCCATCCATCAGCAAAGGAATGCACTGTCCAAGGACAAGAATCAGGAACTTCTAGCTCATTGTGTAGCATCCCTTCACTTCTCCTCAGAAGGAATCTAAATCAGGGTGACAAGAGGCTCCTTTTGCAGGCCAATTCACTCCTAAGCCTCAAAGAACAAATACGTCAGGGTATGGCCATGCTAACATGAGGTATCCCGTGCCCCATAAGGACAGGCATCCTTCATAAGCCTGGGGATAATGTCATTGACAAGTGTTGATTTGAGACCCAACTTATAGATGACAAGTCAGTTATAGAGATTTTTTAAAATGATTTTATTATTTATTTGACTGAGAGGAGAGAGAGAGTGTGAGCGCACAAACAGGGGGAGTAGGAGAGGGAGAAGCAGGCTCCCGTGCTGAGCAGAGAGCCTGATGTGGGGCTCGATCCCAGGACTCTGGGATCATGACCTGAGCCGAAGACAGACTCCTAACTGACTGAGCCACCCAGGTGCCCCGAGATTTAGAGGCCTAAAAAATACAGTGCAGGTAACTGTGACACAAAATCATCTATAGAAGCTGGTCACCCCAGAAGCTGTGGCTTTCTCTAAATACTCCCTCCTTATTCTGCTCTCTGTCAGGGCACACTAACTGTCCTTGGCTTTACAGGGCATAAATTAATCCAACTGTGAGCTCCCTGTTTTTGTGTATCTTTCCAGCAGGGAAAGTAAGGGAAGCTAAATTGAAAAGGTCTAGTTAAAAAAAAAGTTGTGCGTGTATGTGTGTATGTGTGAGTGTACATATATAGCAGCAAAATTCTTCATTCAAATAAAGCTTAAAACGGAACAACCATAACTCATATAGAAGAAAGCAGAACTGCTCAGAGAACACAGGGGTGGGGCTCGCCCTTCCCCCACATTAGTGGCTTCTTGACTTCTTTGCCCAACCCTAAGAATCAAAAAGCATTGGTCCAGAGGGCCTGGCTCCTGGTTCCCTTGCCAGTGTTGGGGTTTGTTTTCAGTTGTGGGCCCAGGGCTGTGACCCCTCCAGTCCTGCAGCCCTCACTATCTTGGAGAAAATGTCATTGCCATGGCTCAATGGAAATAGGAAGCCGGTTCCATACCCCACAGCTCCTCTTCCCCATTTGGGAGGCTGGGAGTTGTGGCTTCCTGCAGAAAGGATAATGGGGAAATGTTTTTGTTCAGCTGACAGCAATTGTACTGGCCACAAACACCCTGAGGCTACCTTACCAGATTTGAGGCTGTGAACTCATAGCAGGTTCCATGTGGGACTGGGGGCTGGTGCGGGATGTCACCAGCCCTGTGCACCGTGATACATTACACTCTCTCCTAGCCAAGTCTAGCAAAATGGTAATCCTACAGGCAATTCTAGAATACCCCAGGGGAGCTCCTTCTGGTCCCTGGGCAAGGAGAACAACCAGAGATGGTAGGTCGTGCGGTATAGAGGACTGAGGCCTGGACTCCGAAACAGAAGTGATGGATTCTTTTTTTTTTTTTAAGATTTTATTTATTTATTTGA